ATTGCGGCGCGATTCGAGTCAAAACACCTTAGAAATAGAAAATTCGACATTTCTACACAGAAAAAAACTGAACTCAGAATGAGCCGTGTAGGCGGCTCATTTTGATGTGCACCAAAAATGAACCAGGTTGGTGGCGCCACTGTCTATGTCGTTTAGCATTGGCTCATTTTGATTTGCATCAAAAATGAGACAAGGTTTTTTCTGTGTATTGTATAAACTCAATTTAAGACTTATTAAACTAAAAGCTTATGTTATTTAGATATTAAAAAAAAAAATTTAACTTTATAAAAATCGATTATTTAAACAATTATGAGAAATTAAAACTGATACCGTAATTATCTATTGCGGTGCGTTTGTATCAGTTTCGGTAACCAAAATTACGTGTATTTTGAAGATACTTTTCTCGCCAAAATTAGAGCCAATGGAAATCTTAAAAATGTTTCAATTGCGCTCTCTAAATTTGAATCAGCTAAAATCCGCTGATTGGCAGTGAGTTGTCGCTAATTGAAAAAGCTATAAGAATGCAGCTGCGAATCAGCGACTAACAACTATTTCAATCAGCGGAATACTCCATTTTAAAAATAAATTTATCTTACGACGAAAATGACCAACGTTTGCCGATTCATGTTTCGCTATTTTATTAGCTGTATGCGCTGAATTGCAGTGAAAACTTTATTCGCTGATTCAAACAGTGAACTTTTAGCTAATTCAAATTTAGAGAGCGGGGCGGAAAAAAATTTGATCTCAAATAATTAAATTAATAATTGTTTAAATGTGCATCTTTATAAGTTATTGTATCAAAAAAAGATTAAAATAATTTTTTTTTTATCATTTTGCAACAGTTATATTAAATATAATAGTAGTAATAATAATAATTTCCGTATTCATTCATTCATTCCGTCTGTCCACACTTGAAGTTAGTCGTATTTTGTTCCTTTTGTTTTTCTAAAATTTTGACAATTCTTGATTTCGTAATATTTTATGGTTAACACGACGGATATTTTTATTCATCGTCATTAATTAAGTCATATACTAAGTGACAGTTTAAAGTAAAAAAAAATATTGTTCATTGTGTGCAGCACCAGTATATTTCCTACTTGGTATTTATAGAAAAAAAAGTTTCAATTATAATATAATTTTTATTATTATTTATAAATTTATTATATTATATATACATTTTTTTAAATATAATGATTATTACAGATAATTAGAACATTTTAACTTATAATTATTATTTATCTTTCATTATTTTTTCATTATTCATTATTATTTATTATATATTATTATTCATAAATTTATTATTATTAATTATTAAATTGTTATATTTTTTTATCTATAAACAATATAAAAATAGTTTGCTTTTTTAAAAAATTTTCTATTTGATTTTAATTTTTAATTTAAGTTTAAAGTTTAAAACATTACAAATTTTTTTTAGGTTTTATTTTTTCAAAATTTTTAAATATTTTTTAATTGCTTAATACTTTTTAAAATATAATTAATAATTTTCAGTTAATTTAAACTTCTTTTTGATTACATAATTTTTTAATATTTATTAATTATCAGTTAATTAAATTTTTTGAAAAAAAACATAAATTTAAAATTTTCATTTGCAACGAAATATTTATAGAAAATACAAAAAAATATTTAGCATAACTAATTTTTTGTAATTTGAAAGATTATAAAAAATTCATCGAACATTGACTTTATCAAAAATATTTATTTCTAAAATTTTAATATTTATATTTTAAAATTTTTACTTAAATTTATTTATTTATATAACATCAAACTCATTTTTTTCTGTGTATAAATAAATGATAACGTGAAAATTAGAAATATACCTATTATTAATTCAATACTCCACTGATGCAGAATTATTATTATTATTATTATTAATATTATTATTTTAAAATAACCATTGCAATTAAAGTTGGACGCGCGCTTGCGCGCGTGTAATTTTGCTAGTAATAGTAATAATAGTGATTTTTTATGAACGCGCCGTAATTGATTTACTTACCCTAGGATAAATTAAATTTTTTTGTATTCTAAACTAACGTAAATAAATTGGAAATATATAATCTATTTTTGTGCTGAAGTTCAATTATTGATTTTAACATTATTTTATTAAAATTTGTATTATTTTTGATGATGTCTGGCGCATTTAAATATTTATATTTTTAACTAAAATATGTTTGAATATAGTCTGTATTGAAACTTGATAGGTTATATGGAAATAATAACACGTATAACGTATAAGATAAAAAAGATAGGGAAACTACATCAAATGAATTAACACTTTATTTAACGATTGAAAAATGGCTTATACACTTAAACAGCTTAAAATATGTCTTTAACTTGAAATAGGGCCAATTTGAGGTGAGGTGAGGTTTTTGCATAAAAAAATCAAGAAAATTCATTTACACATTTCTGTAGAAGGATTTCCTTTTTTATTGCGTATTTAAATCAGTTTTTCATAAAAATTAAATTAATAAAATAGCCTCAAATTTACTTTATTGCAACCTGATTGAAAAACAAAAGAAAGTGGTGAGTCAATAATATTATCAAAATAAAAAAAAATATTATTTTTTTAGGTTTTATTTTAATATTTTATTTTAATTTTATTTTAATAATATTTTAATTAATAAAATTAATAATAATAATAATGTATTTTCAATTTTAAACAATTTTAAAATCATTTTGTTATTAATTTTTAAATATTTTTATGATTATACTAAGTGAACAATTGAATTTAAAGATGAAAGTATTGTTAAATTCCAAAGCAAGCAATTAATTCGTAATTTTCTTGAAAACAAACAATTTTTTAAAGGAATTTTTTTTTCTATTCATTTCGTCGATTCCATAGAAAGAAACTAATTTTCCAGTTTTTCTTTAAAGTGTATATTTTTTTATAATTAATGCTTAAAGAAAATGTGCGCAGTTGATATAACCTCAAGGAACCACAGTTTTTTTTTAATTTTATCGTTAATATGTAGGTTTATTTCAACAAATTGTTGTTTATTTATTAAAACATACTAATATATCGAAACGGTTTTCTCAGTTTTTTTTTAAATGACCTGCAAAATTTTTAAAAATGTTTTTTTTACTTCCTGTAAAAACAGTGAATTGGCGCTTGACCCCTTTTGTCATTCTACCCTTCATTTATAGAAATACGTGATTATTAATTAAATGCTCTCTGCACAGAAAATTGAAAGGTATTAAAATAAGCTGCAACGCTTCTTATTTTAATCCATTTTTACTTATTTTAATACCAAAATGGATTAAAATAAGAAACATTTGATTAAAATAAGAAGTGTTGCAGCTTATTTTAATACCTTTTAGTTTTCTGTGTGAACATAGTGCATTAGAATTGTAGGAATATACAATGAATTATTACTAGTAATCCATCCTAATGGTTTGACAAATACGATAACAAACCGATAAGCATGTTATTGTTACGTCAACAATGAAAGATTATCACATATATAGAAGTAATGTATAGGGTAGATTATAAATTATATCCATTGCAAGGTAGACCAATAATCAAATTGGAATGTTCCGAGCTGATTAAATCGATCTCTTCAATATCCCTCAGCTCAACGCATCCTTCTCTCTTTCTCTCTTTCTTCATTATTGGTCTCTTCATTTCTTTCGTGAATATCCCTTTCACTACGTTGCACACTTTATACGCGCGCAGAATTTATAATTTCACAATAATCGTTTTTCAGGTCAATGCACCTTTCTTTGCAAATATTATTTTTTTTCAGCTTTTAATTGCTCTAAAGCTTTCTTTGTGCGCGTATTTTTATTATATTTAATATAGAGACGAACAAAAATTTCTCCCAGGTCAAAAGAAAACTCTCATTAGATATTGTAAAGTAAGTTATTTTCTTATAACTTGCCAAGAGAGAAAGTTTTCCATAGAGTAAAGAAATTACTGAAGTCGTCAATAACAATATTTGCATGAGAGAAGAATCATACAAAGTTTCAGTATATATATATATATATATATATATATATATATAAACTTTTTCAAATACTTAATCTTTTCTCATGGACGGAAAGTTTGAAAATAAAATTACCTAATTTTGCAATAGTGCAATTTTTCCCGTCATAATGATAAATTATTTTCTTTCAGTATAAAAAAAAGAATTCTATTTTTTTAACTATCATGACCTTTTGTTAATTTGTCTTCTTATTAGAATTTTTTTCTTTTCTTTTGTTTTACTTTAACTGTTATAAATTTTTGAACATTAGAAGAAAAAAGTTGGGAGAATTTTTCGCTCTACGTAAAAACTTGGTTTGAAAGTGTGTTGGCTGTATTCTTTTTTTTCTCCGCAGTCGTATCGTATATTAGATATATATATATATTTTTTTTTTCTTGGACTTTCTCTACTTGGTTCTCTCTACTTCTGATCGTAATTCACGCATAATTCACGCTTCCTGGTAAATCGACCAAAGATTACCGTAATTTCTTTCGATCTTTCGAATGGGTAACGCCCAACTTAGCCTCGCGAGAATACTTGGATTGAAACAGTAATTTAAAAAGAGCCGGATGCTGAGTGCACTCGAAGCTTTTTAGCAGACTCGGATTAACACCGAGACTTTGGCACCTTAGATAAGAAAATCTCTTAATTCTCCTCAGACTTAAGCTTTTATTATTTTTTTTTTTTCGTGAAAAAAAGCAGAGAAATAAATTCCATGAAAAAAGCGCATATACTTTGTATATTTTAAGTATAGATGAAATATTTATTAGTATTCTTTGTACACAAATCAGTTTTACCTTGGTTTTTAAAAAAAAAAGTAAAAGATTTACAAGAATTTGTAAAATTTGACAAAATTTATGTTTTAATAATTCTAAAAAATTCGATAAATTGATGATAATAATAATTAAAATTAATGGAATTCATTACAGAATTTTACGATTTATTTTTAGAGAGACAGAGAGAGAGAGAAGGAGACCTATTTTGATAAAGATTTTATGTAATTGATTGAATTGATTTTAGGTGAGGAATCAGGAGGATACACTGGAAAACCATTACCCACCTACAGACCAGCTGCACAATTAGTTTCTCTAGGAGGAACTACGAGACTTTTCTGTGAAGCTTATCTCGGCAATGTCGGTCTTCCTGATGCCAAAAACTCTGTAACTTGGTCCAAATCGGACAGTAACGTGACCCTGCCAAATCATGGACGAGTATCCCAACACAAAGTTTCACGGTGAGTTTATATGGCAACATTATTTTTTCATTCAATTATATGTGTACATCCGCATGAAATGGGTCGATTTTATATTTTTAGTAGATAATCTCAATTTTCTAAATGTGGTTCAGATTTTTAATTTTTTTTTTTATGGTTGAAAATCAAACTACAAAGTGTTCCACGTTAAATTATGCATTCATTGTAATTAAAATAACTAATATTCTTATTTTTTTAATTTTTAATTAACATGAGAACTAATGGTAGATTTGCATGATAAAATTTTAAAAATGAAAAAAAATAATTTTAAGATTTGGAAAGGCAAAAAAAGTTTGGATAAAATGTTTTACTGTTCGGATAATTGTGGTTCCACTGTATTGATTTATTGAAATCTGCTACTATTTGTATACCTATTAAAAAATATAAATTAATTATAATAAATTGTATAAAAAAAAATAATGAACGCAACATAAGATTGATGAAATACATTATTTGGCAACATATAACAACAGTCTAGTAAAATATCTTGATGATTCCAAGTCTTTTTTGCAATATAATTAAAAAAAAAACATTTAATCCATCCTGGGAGGGTTTGTTATCATCCGCGTACATAAAAAATCTCCGGACACCGGCGAAGGTTTTTTATTGTAAAAGTTTTTAATATTTAAAAAAGAAATTTTTTTTTATTATGTAAAATTTTAAAATCGTCAACTTTTTTCTTTGTCTACAAAAATACTAAACGTAGAATATTTTTCTAAAAGTATTGTTTGAAAACTTTACTTTTAAAATAACGTGTGCATTGTAACCCCTTGCCTCGAGGCCACCTGAGACATTTCTCAAGACTTGAAGCAGAAATCAGAACGTGATCGAGACTGCTTCAACGTATATATATATATATATATATACTTTTTGGATCCTCAATGTATAGTTGACCGAGATCAGTCGTTTGCAGAAATAAAAGATATCAGTACTATATATATATATAAAATTTTTTTTTTATTGTGAAAATTGTGTCCTGGGTGCGGAAAAAGTCTGGATTATTATTATAGTATATCGCTCGGGAACAAACATACACTTTGCAAGCAGAAAGATATAGTATAGGAAAAATACATACATACAGACAGAAGTTGTTCTTGTGAGAAAATTGTGAAACCACTACATCGGACTATCTTGTGTAATGAACAGTAAATTGTACTTCTCAAAAACCTTTTCCACTTTAATTACTTTCTGTCAGTTGCATTCAGAGGAAAATCTTATTTAGGTCCTCGGTCTAATGGAAATTTAACTTTTACTTTTAATTATTTAAATTTACCAGATTGACAGCAACTTTTCTAGTTTCAAGTTTGTAAATTTCTCTATACTTGTACGTGTATAATTCCTAGAACAGTTTGAAAACCTCGCACTCTTGCAAAAGTTTTAAATGGACATTCAAAAGTATAATTTAGAAGTTTTTATGCAAAACATGTATTATATATATATACGAATTAATTATATTTATAAATAAAATAAAATTTTATCGAAATGTTGATTGTAATTTGTTAAACAACAATTTTTTGTTAAAAAGTATGTTTGATATTTTTCAATTATATTCTGATTAAATTTGGTGGTTTTGCATTTAATAGCATTTATATATTTATTAATTAAATACGATATACAGTGTGTGTGTGTGTGCGCGGTTTTGAAATATAATTATTGTGGTTTTTTGTCGTAAAAACATATTGGAAATTACCTATTTCTCATTTCTACATTTATTGTGTATAAGAGGAAGAAATATTTTCGCGGTATTTGAGTCGTAAGAAGTGTGGTCTTTACAGACAAAATGGAAGTTAAGATGAATGAGAAAAAAAAGACGACAGTCGTGGTTTCGCGGTATACCTGATCGCCTCGGCCGCATTTCCAAGCGGTGTGGTTAATAGGTTACGTTGAAAATCAACGGCACAAGATCTTCAGTCACGGGAGAGGTATATAAAGAAAAAAAAAAAAAAAAGTTACCGGGTCTTCTCTTGGGTGGGGGATGGGAGGGAGATTAAAGCACATTCTGATCGCACTATATTTAAAATATAACATTCAAATAAACATATTAACATGCGATGACAATTTTTTTTCTATAATTTAAAAAAGACAATATATTAGAAAAACATTTTCTTTGCACAAATTTAATATAGAATTTCATAAAAGATAAACACAAAAGGAGAGAAATAAAGGGACAGGAAAAATAAGAGAGAAAGAGCTTAACTTTTTTTTTTTCTATTCTTCGAGCTGTCTTTCTTGTAAGAGGAATAAAAGGGTAAAGTGGATAAAAGTCAAACAAAATGATCGTTATAAAGGAGAAAAATTGTGTAGAGAATTTATCTATAAAAGAGCTTAAAAATTAATAAAAGAATAATGGAGTGTGTTAAATAAATGAAATTAAAAACTTTTGCGCGACAAATTTCGAGTTTGTGCCCCATAAATTTAGTATATTATTAACATTAAATAATCTATATTATTCGTACTATTTTGAATTATATACTCTCAATGAAACTATAAAATAGATTTGAAGTTATGCAACTGAAATTGCTATTAATTGAAAATGGCACTATTTCGAATTATTGTCATTTGAAGCTTCCATATTCTTATGAAATAATATATAGTTAAATCATAGAATTTAGTCTAATGATATGAAACTATATTATAGTTAGAATAATTATACATTGAAAGCATAATTAACTGAAAATAGCAGTTAATGTATTCACAGAAATAAATTAATTTTCAAAATTCTTTTCTATAATGTATAAGAGAAAATATTAAGCAGATTGCAAATTGGGGTAGATTGCAAATTAATAAATATGCAATTTTGATCAAGTAAAGTGTAATAGAGAGAATGGTTGCGTATCTAGTTATATAGTAGAAATTATTGATTTTGCTTTAAGTATAAGGACTATGGGGGTGTGTTGGAAACAATGACAAGGAGCTTGAAAACAACCTATAATTTTCGCAGGCTTATAATATTAGATCTTGCTAATATTATAAAGCAGAGTTGCTTTATTGATGGTTAAAGTTTTAACAAAGATAGTTTGAAATTCGAGAAAAGTTTTATTAAATTACACAAGAAATATAATTTACACGATAATTTATTCGTCATATAAAACAAACGCCTTCTGCTTGCATGTGGATATCGTTATAATTATGTATAGAAAGGCGTTAAACATTACGAAATTCTTCTCGTTAAAATGTTAATGTACAAACTAATAATAAAAATAATTTATTAAATAAACTCTAATTATCAATTTTTATATACAAAATTTTATGAAAATAATTAGTGTGATAAAAATATTTTTGTTATTCAAAAATATAATAAAACATTTTTATTATTTTGCACATTGAAATTTATAATACCGTAATTTAGTTTTATAAATTATGATATTTTATGTGGTTTTACAAGTTAGTATAAAAATGGAAAAATATTAAGTAAATATACGTGAATATAGGTATTACAATGTATATATGTATATTCTCGAGGTTTATGTGTATATATGAAAACGTGTACATAATTTTCCTTTGTTTGGATTATATGTCAAAAGGAAATAGTATAATAAATAAAGAATGTGAAGAAAAAGCAAAAGTTCACTTGAAGTTGACTTCACAACTAAAGAATTTGAGATTAATGTTTTTGATAGTACTATATATACCAACTGTTTTTCATTTAAATTCATTTTTTTTAAATTACGTGACTGTTAAACACACATAAACAAATAAAAATTTCAAAGGATTTGATTATTCTCGAAAATCCATTAATTCGAATTTCCTGAAAATTGGATTTTATAAAAAAATAGAAGATTAAACCGAATTTTCATATCATAAAATTGTTATTAACGCAAAGTTTAATTTAACAGAACATTCTGATAAATAAAAATTCTGTAAAAATTCGTTCTTATGATATTATTTTTAGGAAATAATATATTAATTGGAAATTTTATTTAAGAAATATATATATACAAAACAGTGCTGGGAAATAATGTTTTTTTTTCAAGTTGTAGGCGCGAGAATTATTATTTAATGTATACATAGAAGTTTCAAAGAAAATTCGAATTGTAAAATTCAGTGAGGGGAAAGATCAGGAGAAAATTGATTCTCGAAAGCCCTATAAAATACGATAACTTCACGTCAATTGAAAAATAAAGAATGTAAAATTACATTCTATCCTGTTTCTTTAACTTTTTCTGGAACTTTGTTAAATTTTCGCGGTGGAATAATAATCAATTGGCAACAGTGCGGTAAGGAGATCGAGAACAAGTATGAGAAAAAGAAATAAAATACAAAAAAAAAAAAAAAAAAAAAGACGGATAATAAAGGGAGTGAGGTGATCGGGGCCGTGAAGTTGAAGAAGGTGGTTGGAGATAAAAGCCCCGCGGGGGAAAGGGAGGTGGGCAAAGGTATCATTAGAGTAATGACGGGGCATGCTGCTCGTATGGTGGGAGGGTGGTGAGTGTACGAAAAAGAGAGCGATGAAAGAAAGAAAGAAAGAAAGAGAGAGAAAGAGAAATTCCCCAGTTCTTGTTCGAGGCTCTCGAGAATTGCGACTTGACGACTTGGGCTTCACCTGGATGCGGCACTCATGGGTTTGTCCTCTGCCGTTATTATGTGTATAACGTTACCGTGAAAAGTTAAAAGAAATAAATTACATTTTAATCCAAAGTGAGTTTTTGATATCGTTGAATTCGTGAAGAAAAGCTCTATTTTAGTGTATAATAATTGATTTTCATTAGTTATTGCAAAAAATGAGAAAAAATTACAGAAGTTATAGGTTATGTTACAATGTTAAACTTCTACCGACGGCTCATAGGTGGCCACTCTCTTTCTCTCACAAGTATTACTTTTGTCGATTAGTCCCTAACTTACTTTAAATTTCCTTTTCTTAATTATTAATAACTAGAGGGGCTTTGCCCCTTTGCGCGCCATCCCCCTATTTTTTATTGGTTTTGTAGATGTTTGAGTTAATGTTTAGCCAATTTCTGGAATTTAAAACTATTACTAATATT